GGGGGGGGGGGGGGGGGGGGGGGGGGGGTGGACCTAAGAGGTCGGAGTCGGTGCTGGGGTTGGAGGAGAGGGAACGCCGGGTGAAGGAAGAGAGACGTGCGCTAGAGAGGTTGGCAAGGGATGTCGTCGATCGTGCGGGGCGTGCTGCGTCACTTCCTACCCCCGTCTCTGCAGGGGGGGACATCACTGGCCCTTCCTCCTCCCACTCTCTCTCCTCCTCCCCTGGCCAGTACACCCACTCAGACCTCCGGTGTTCACTCCTCAAGCTCCTGTCCGAATCTTCATCCCATACGTCATCCCTGGAACGCAGGCTCTCTGATGCGCTTTCCCAGCTGGAAGCTAAGGAGCAAGAGCTGGCAGAAACGAAGGAAGAGCTGGACAGGGGGAGGGAGAGGGCCGCACAGGCGGAAGGCAAGTGGGAAGCTGCAAAGGCGGACGATCGTGCTGCTGCCGGGTTGGTAGAACGATACATGTGCGTCTACCCTTTCTTAGCTACACACGAACCTGACCGCTGACCCACGACCCGCTCTAGGCGTTTCTCCCAATCCACTACCGACTCCCTGCGCAGTACGATCTCCACACTCCAATCCCGCCACTCAAGTACAGTGCAAACCCTGCAACTTCAGCTCTCCCAATCCCAAACTTCGCTCGCCCGGTCCGAACGGCAAGTCCTCGCCCTCCGCTCAGCGCTAGACGATGTCACCCAGGACGTGGTGGTGCATTCTGAGGGCCGAAGACGGGAGGTGGGGCTGAGGCTGAAATTGGTAGGGAGGGAAGAGAGGTGGGTAGGTGCGGTTAGGAGGGCTGTGGGGAGGGCTGGGAGGGAGCTTGCCCAGGGGAAGGGGAAGGGGAAGGGGAAGGGGAAGGAGAGGGCGGAGGGAGGGGAAGGGGAGGTGCTGCAGAGGCTTTTGCTAGCCCTCAGAGAAGTACTGGACGAAGTAGACGGGCCTTGCTCCTCCCCCTCCCCCTCCAACGCCGACGCCAACCCCACACAACCAGAAGGCAAACCGTACAAGCGCGCGGCCCAAGCTGTACATATGGGCACAGGAGCACTGGGGAGGATCGTCGCTGCTGAACAGGCGGTGAGCGGGTTGGTACTGGAACTGGAGAGGGAGACTGGGAGGCGGATGGGCCTGGAACGGGAGAGGGGGTTTGGGCTGTGGGAGGAGGGGAGGGGAGGGGAGGAGGTAGATGGGCAGCTACTTGGGCAACTGCAGCAGGGTCAGGGGCAGCAGGGGCAGGAGGAGGAGAGGGAACATGCGCATGAGAGAGAGGAACAAGAAGTACCCGAGCCAGAGGCGGACGAGGCAGACGAGGCGGACGAGCAAACCAGACTGCTCCAAGAGCCCAGTACGCCCCTCTCTGTCCCTCCTGCTACGGAGGCGGTGGTGGAAGATGCCGGCTACGCACCGGAAGGGCATCAGAGCGAGCGGGAGATGAACGGGCATGCGCTTGCCGCTGGGGATGCTGAGCTGCCGGAGAGGACGGAGAAGGATGGCCGGGTTGGGCCTGTCTGCGGCTCCGGCTCGGAGAGAGAGTACAAGTGGGGTGTGCGGGATGTTGGTAATGGGCATCCTGAGGCTGCTGTTGGGTTGGAAGACTCCAGGCCGGTCGACACGCCTGGACGCGAGTCAAGTGCCCTGCCGAACGGCGATATGAACGGACAGCCTAAAGTTGACACCGAACCGGAAGTCTCCAAGTCAGTCAATGCCTCTGGAGCCAAGGTGAATGGTTATCTCGAGCATGTCGCCGTACCACAGAAGGATCGCAAGTCGGCTGTGCTCCCGGACGGTGGTATGAACGGGCCTCCTGACGCTGCTGTCGGTTCGGAAGAAAGCTCCGAGTCGATCCATGTGGTTGGAGGCAAGCTGAACGGTCATGCTGAGGCTGCTAGTGGGCAGGAGGAAACTACCGATTTGAGTGCCGTTTCTGTCAACCTGAACGGGAGCGCCGAGCCCTTCAAAGTAGCCGACGCTGAATCCAAGCCGTTCATCGAAGAACCTGGCTCTGAACAAGTGCCACAGTCAACCCCCGCCGCAGCTACAGCGGCCATAGCAATCTCACCGGACGCGCAAGCCGATATCAACCCACAGGTGGCCGAACTCTCCGACAGCTCCTCGGTCGAAACCTTAGCATTAAGTGAATGGGCCCCATCGACCAGGTCGTTGCCTACGCTATCGAACGAATCTCTGATTTCTGAGACGCCGACTGCAGTTTCCAGCGGGGCTCTAAACGAGTTTGTCAGCGAGAAGGTAGCCTCGGCCGTGCCTGAAGAGATTGTCGACGTACCGGCGCCAGTTATGATCGTCGCAGACCAAAAGGCGGCCATTGAAGCTCCCCAGGAGCCCGTCCAGATCCCAGAACCCCCTGCTATTCGATTCGAAGAGCCTGCCCCTGCAAAACCGATCGAGGAGGCCGCCAAATCGCCCGAGGAGGCACACAGCGACGAGCTCCTCCGCCAGCTCTCCGAGGCATCAGCGCGCTACGAGTCTATCCAGCAAGCGTTCAAGGGATGTCACAACACCCTCCTGGCGCTAAGGAACGAGCTCCTCTCACCCGCTTCTCCCGGCCCAGTGGCCGAACAAGCACATCTGCTTTCCACTGCTGTCAATAGGCTCGACGACATCACCGAGGACACTCGTGTGAGCCTCGAGATTCGCGCTATTGACGATGCCCGCCTTGCCAAGGGCTTCGAAACGCTGCTTATGATGAACACTCACTCTGCTCCCGGCACGCAGCTGTACGAGCAGATCGAAGCCTTCCTCGCAGGGGAAGACGCAACCGGCAGCAACGTGCAACACACCTTTGAGCAAAAGCTCGACGACCTGGAGCACGACATATCGATCATTAAGCGCGCTGTTCACGAATGGATGACCGGGGATACGTTGACCGCCGGCCTGTCGGACGAGCCGCCCCACGCGCCTGATCCTACCCGCCCCGCTCCCTCCCCTTGGGGATGGACGAGCGCCTTCCTCCCCTCGCGACCGAACAGCCCGTCCCCAACCTTCGGAGCGGTGATGTCCGGTGCCGTTTCGGGGAAACCGAGATCCCCATCGAACAATAGTACTGGTATACGGTTCCCAATGCTCGCCCCGCTTTCGCCTAGAGAACACCCACTCGCCTATCTCAGGCTGAGGCACTCCATGCCCTCCCCCTCCCTTACCTCTCCCGCGCCCATATCACCCAGTTTCGCGGCGTACACTGTCCTCTCCCCCCCGGGGTCGGCGTCCTCCGTCGTCCTCGGGCTGCCGTACGAACGCAGGCGCACGACCTCGGCTTACATGGCCGGTCTCGCCCCTGGCCTGGGCATGCGTGCGCCTCCCCCTGGCCGCCGTCTACCGGCGAGGGCAGCAAGCACCCCCCAGCTGGTGCTGAGCAGTGATGACGTTGAATAGAGTTATATTTCCTGGGGTACTGGACTTTGCACGGGATAGATCCTGCATTTCCCATCCTGGATCGTGGATTTTGTACTTTGACTCGCATACCTCTTGTATGATACCCCGCGTTATGTCTTACATTCCCCAGTCAAATAACCATCTTCCTTCATTATCATACTCTGCGCATGTGTGTGGGCTCAATGCATGGAAGCACTCCTGATCATTCCTATCAGTACCCACGAAACGACCCACCTCGTCTATCGAACGCTGCCTACTTTCCGACGATGCAGCAACGATTGATCAAGCTGGAATTGGGGTGATATTATCACGGTTCTCACTACATTTTTCCACCATATCCATGGCAGAGATCCCCGCTCCAGTCGACACCCACCCTCTCCCGCCCCGCTCCCCCTCTTCGCAAGCAATCACTCCAACCCCGCCTCATCAAAATTCAACACCAACAACACCCAGAACTCGATCCCCGCCACAAAATTCTGCACGCTCATCGCCTCATCCACCGTATGATACCCATTCCTGATCCCCTCAGGGCGGAAATGGGCGTAGCGGAAGATGTGCGGCGTCAGGGGCCAGTAGTGTGCGGTGTCGGTGTTGCCGGTCATTAGGGCGGGGGCGATGTGGATCTCTTCATCGGGGGCGGGGGCGGGAGGGACGGGAGCTCCGGCTTCGGCTTGGACTGGGTGTTGGTGTTGGACTCCTGCTATGCCCTCCTGAGCGGAAGACACTGACCCCAGGGGCAACCCCTGATTATGGCTAAAGACAGCCCGGATCGTACCTCCCAAAACGTCCCACACGCCCCCCTCTGTGGGAGTAAACGGCGCAGGCTCAAGCGGGTCAAACATAGTGCTCAAGACCAACTTTCCTTTCCCAGCAACAGCAACACTGGCTTCCCCTTGCCTCTGGCGCACAGCTCCCGATTCCTCCTGGCCAGAGGCAGAGGCAGAGGCAGAGGCGGAGGAGGCGGATGACGCTTCGGGAAACGCCTCGAACGACAAGTTCCAGCTGCTCGCTTCAGGGGCAAGCAGTTCCCTAAGCCTGGCCTTCACTCGCTCAGAACTCTCATCCACCCCAATCCTATGGTTCACCAGCGCCCAAGCCCTTTCCGGCAAAACGTTCGCCTTGACTCCTCCTCTGACGACATCTACAGCCTGAGTAGTGGACATGAGCGCTCCTCCCGTCGGGAGCAGGGCGTTGGAGGGCAAGGCGTGCAGTACCCAGTTTCCTAATTGGGATAAAGCGCTATCAGAGTGCTCGCTTGACTCTATAAGCCGTTTTGCGCCCGCAGGGAGGGAGGGCGAGTACTCCGCAACGCACCGCAGCGTTTGGTACAACGGGTTCGTGCGGGTCAGCTTCGCTTCTGGGGGGTTCGTTTCCAGTACTGTGATGATAGAAGCTAGGATGCCGATGGCGGTATGTTTTGGAGGAGTAGAGGAATGGCCCCCTTGGGCGAGGACAGAAAGCTGGACATCGAGGTATCCCTTTTCCCCTACGGCAGGAGTGGCATACATCGTTCCGAGCAGAGACTGGTAACCGGCGCCTTCGTCCAGGATTGCACAGATCCCGTTTTGGCCGTAGCGGTCGTAGAGGAAGCTAGAGATCTGGCCGGCGCCTTCGAAGCTTGAGGACTCTTCGTTGAACCCGAATGCGAGGAGTATGGTTCTTCTTGGGCGAAACCCATGCTGCACAAGGAGCTCGAGAGCGATCATGATCCCCACTAGGCGCCGTTAGTGGGATGGGTGGAAGGGGAAGGCGAAGAAGCACCTAATCCGGCTTTGTCGTCACAGCTCCCCCGACCCCAGATCCAGGTGCCGTCGTAGTGTCCTGAGAAGGGGGGGTGGGTCCATTGGTCCAGAGTGTCTTGGTCGACGGGGACGACGTCTGCGTCGGATTAGGGGCGAGCGCGAGGGAGCAGGTCCGTGCGAGTGGGAGGGTGCGGGCGAGCGTGGGAGTACGTGCATGCGGCATGCGGGTCAGCGATGCGGATACCCGGGGGGAGGGGGGGGGGGGGGGGGGCAGG